ACGACAATAAAGGATGATAATGAGTGTTGCTTGACGGAATTGGCCTACAAAACTGAACTACCACCGATTGGATATTTTTCCGTTTCAAACGGGGGCTCCGCACATACCCTATCTCGCCACATGTAACGTTTTGACAGGCACGTTATCCGACTGATGACATCACTTCCTAAACGTTAAACACGGCGAACAATATGTTGCGTAGCCGTTAACTGAGGATTCATGTAATTTTATTACAATGGACGGTGTCTAACGATGGCAGAAATGAGCATACTACAGCCATCCAAGAGGTGTCAACAAAGGTTATAAAAATAATACCTGGGACGAATTTAATAAAACAAATATTATCAATGCCGTTAAGGTTAAATCGTCTTTCTTCAACAGTGTTTATACTGAACGTAGAGACATTTTCTTGTTTGAAAACCTGCTTCACAACATGTATTAACTCAGACGTCCGTCGCTACACCTGAAAGAATAAGTAGACAGTTAAGATATGCCCAATTTCCAAAACAGTATTTTGATTTACTTATACTCCCTCATACTGTTAATTCATCCACTAGCTAGTGGTAACTTCGTACTATAATGCCATGGCGTATGGCACTAGCCAGCAATTATCTTCATGTGTACAAACCAGGATTATACTTGAAAGTGTGCATTTCCGAGTTTTCTCTATGTTACTAAAGAGTAATTAATTAATTTTTCATTCTTTATTCGGACAGCGTGCACAATCAAATCAGAATTAAGGAATGAAGGGGATTGAAGATACATTTAGCAGACAGTAGTGTATAGAGAAGTGTGTGATCTAAGCTGGTTAGTTGTGATAGATGCGCAGCACGAGACACTCAGTGATGATCCAGTGTGGATGGGTGACCGGGGGCAACGCTCCTAGGGTATCGTCCACTGATGGGGGTTGCGAGCACTTGAAGGTCAAACTGTCGCAAAATGATTGGTGCGTCACATCGACAATTCGTGAAAATTTTCAGAAGCGGTCAAATCAAGACATTTTTAGATTTGAATTGAGTTCAGCCACACTGTATGGTAACGTTCATTCTTCAAGTAACGAAGACGATTCCATCGTGATGATGCATGATATAGGACGAATCTTCAATGATATTATGTTATCTCGAAGATTTACAAGTTGGGACAATTTTGAGACCTGTTTGAAAGAAGTACATAAGGTAATATGACCTCTGTGGTTAATAATTATTTTTTAGTATACGCATACTAAGTACGTTATGTCAGTATGCAAAAAGAACAGTGATGATCCAACTCTAAAGTACTTTTTCGTGAGATATGTCTGTACATATGGACGTAAACGCAGTTCGTCAGAGTCAGATGCTTGCGTTCAGGATGTAGATGATGATAGTAATAATCATTCTTCTGAAGAGCATACAACTTCTAACTCGCCAACACAACCTAGGCAAAGGAGACGACGTCGGTCATCTACGTATGCCTTACTTCAAATGAATTTATCCTTCAGGTCGAAATATTGCCATTGTCAATCAGGATTTTGGGTCCGGGCAGTAAATGGTGAGTTGAAACTCACCTCTATTAAAACCGTGCACAACCATCCTTGCACAGAAGGATATATTTCTGTCGATCCATCGAAACGACAGTTGACCTCAAGTGAACGCTTGTATTTAAGAACGTTTCTACTGAGTAATACACCAACTCGTAGCTTACGGTATCTGGTTTCTTGGAAGTTCAATAAACAGCTTACCAAGGACGATATCGCCAGAATGCGTTCACAGTTGTACCCAGGTTGTTGAACTCACATTGTAATTAATTGAGTTTAGACACTAAAAATATCAATGACATTTTACAGCGCGTTCAAGCAAATACTGAAGTTAAAGTATTCAATGAAAATGGGAACATGTCTATGATTTGCTTCAGCCGCAGAGAGCAAATAGCTGTTTACCACGCGTTCCCGGAGGTAATATGTATTGATTCGACTTATCAGACCAATAAAGTCGGGTAAGTAACGATTAGTAATAAATTTATCTGAAAGTTTCCACTGTTCCAGCTAGTGGTGACTGATAGTCTTGGGCAAGGGCACACTGTTATGTATGCTCTTTGCAGTCAAGAACGACGCGAAGATGTCGAAAAACTATTGGAATGTTTTAAAGAGATAATGTGCGGTACTTATGCTACACGCACTTTCATTATGGATTCGGCAGCGACCGAAATTTCGGCTGTGCAGTCTACGCACAGTCATTCTAACATAATACTTTGTTCATTCCATGTCCTGAGAGCGTTTTTCAGGAAGGTATGTGTTAGCTGTACAAATTATTTTCTGTAGTTCCGAAATCCTGATGTGCGCAAATGCTTGGAACACCTTGTGAAGACTAGACGGTCTGATATGTGAGCTTCGCTTTTCATAACGCATTATATTCAGATTTACTCGAAAGTACGAACATCTAAGACGCATTTCCCACGGGCGTATGATTACATAAAAGATTACTGGATTGCCAGGAAGTCAATGTGGGCTCGCTGTTACCGGCGACATGTATTAAGCCTGGGCAACCACAGTGTCGAAAGTGCTCATAAACACCTAAAAGAATGTCTCAGAAGAGGTGATTCCCTGCTATTGACGTTCTGGAAAATTTGGAGTAAAACAGACATTGACCTACGTTTGCGTCCTTATGACGCTGTAAAGGATCTTCAACGTTTTCCATTCTTCAGGTAAGAAATATAGTTAAATGTATCATTAATTCCAGGTTCCAATGTCATTTCGAACTCTTCTAAATGAGTTCACATCTTTTGCAGCTAAAATTGTAGCTGTAAATTATAAACGTGTTCGGACAATGAGACACGAATTTATAGAAGGAGAATACATCCGGTGCTACGACAAGGGTATGATGTTTTACATTAATTCATTTATATGGCCATTGACTTATTCTTATAGCGTAACGGCAGAGAGTGTACTGTGCAGTCTTATGTAGCTGGGAGACAGGGATGTTGTCTCGCGTTCTTGTGTAATAATTACCAGTTTGGCGCACACGCGATTAGTCATACATACCGTTTACCAAATACTGCAACCTTGAACATGGTGTACCATACTAGTAGTTCGAATTTCGACCTGTCACGATAGATAAGAATTGCCGTAATTAAAAGACTGGTGCGTTATAAATGAAAACGTTTATTAAAGTTTGAATCTAGCACAAATGATCCATTAATAAATAGCTTCTATTTCTTAGGAATTGTTCCCGTTAGGTCTGTGAACACTTGCGAAGCTAGCTGGGAATAAGATAGACAGGGAAGTTATTTCAGTATAAATGCTTACCAGAAACTAGTATAAAAACGGAAACCAGTATTCAATTACAGTTCGAAAGTGCATTTAGCACACCCTTCCTTTGGATAGTCAATCACGCTTATTTCCTTTATCTCTTGCGTTGCTTAGGAAAGTCTGGGTCACAACATACACGGATTGTATTATTTAATTCTTTGGACAGGTTGCACTTCACAAACTTAAACAATGAACATATATAAAGACTACTATGTGAACTTATTTTGAATCGTCCTGTGTAATCTGCAATTATTGTTGCCTATTTTGTTTCAGTCCCACGTAAGGTATAAGTAATTGTCATTTACTGCATCAGCACGTAAGCTAGACAAGCTTGGTTGATTTCCGAAGATCATCACATAGGATCTCACACAATCTGGTCACCTTAGATCAAGATATCTTGACTATCAAATCGTACTTTTCAGTGCTTTCTCGTGACAGCTTTATATCAGTACTTATTTCTGCTATTAGGTATTTTTGCAATAATACCGGCAGCCAAAACATTGTAGCTCTACACAAGAGGTAGTAATGCTATCTTAGCTTGGTTTCTGGTAAAATCTTCACATAATTATACCTCTTCCGCATGATTATGATTTATTTCCTGCAATATAATAATTTGGTGGCTAATATATCTAGCTGTAGGAGGTGATATTAACATCTTGGTATGTGTTATTATCATCTATAGCATATTCAGAATATTTACAACACTCGATACACCTAATGTTTTCACTATCAACCTATTTCTGCCATGAAAGTCGAACAAAACAGTGAAGATCAGTCGAAATTGTGATAAAGACGGGAAAAACGATAAATCTTACCATGGTATCGCTAGTTGTAACGCAGTTTTGGTAGCCTTGACGACAATACAATTTTTGTGACGATAAATGCTTGTATCATGCTATTTCTTTTAAAAATGAATGATTTGTCCACCATCAGTGTATACCTAAGTAGAAATAATTGCTAGTCTGCGATGCAAACACGAAAAAACTATTATAGCAGCACCTGATTAATGAATTTTCAAGGACTTCGCGATACATGTAACGCAAAATGGAAAAACCCTTTTTCACCTAATTATGAAAACGGGAAGTAGACTTTCAGATTTATTCATAATTAATTTCGAAATTTGGTTGTGCATAAGGCAGAAATGAAAAAGTAGCGCAAAAAGTGTCGCGATACCCCTGATCGCTTCTGTGACCGGGAGCCTTCAGCTAAGGTATGTTCGGTAAAAGTAAACATGTCGGCATCAGTGTCAAAGACCCACAGAACTATTTATTTCAGAGCTTTGTTCGAGGCTGCTTATATAATTTGAATCTCAAATGAGTTCCGGAACGATTTTACAGCAAAGTCAGAGTATGCGATACAAGTAATTTCATTGACCTAAAACAAACGCGTATATCTAACCACCAAATCCACGAATGCTCATTCGAATGGCGAAAATCACGTGGTTGGTTGACTATGAAGAGTGAAAACGTTACATGAATGACTGCGAAGAATCACCCTGTTTAAATTATTTGGTCGAATATTTCTCCAGTAACTTCATTTCAATCCGCAGCCGAAACCCTATAGCCTTAATATGAAGCTTCTTTTTGTGTAGATTAATCAAGCTTAGAGAACGCAGATATAACCCTGCATTTCAAGAGTTTTGATTTGTCTTCACTACTCAATTTTTGACATTTGTCTTAGCGAGATCTAGTGACCGAGCGGAGGAGCGCTATATACAATGTGGGAGTTACAGGAGTTTATCGGAGACGGTACTTCCCTAAATATCTTGTTACAGATTTTAGTGCTCAATAAGACCTTCGTTATCAGTCAACCAGGTGTTATTAAGTTTGGTGGTTCAGGATGTGACGTTGACTTGCGGCCGGCTGTGTGCAGTGAGGTGGCTAATATGTTTGTTATCGGTACTGATACTAATTGTGTGGTATGCTTGTCGTGTCTTAATAAACACAGTAGAACGGTTTACAGTTTAATCTGTCGGAAAATGTTCGGGGACAATCCTTAGTTAATGGCGTGTTGTCAAAAGAATACCAGCCCATAAAGTCGGGAGACATGGTGCAATTTCGTTCCGTATCGAACAAGAAGTTTATGTATGTTATCAGTTAATTAATTTTCGAAGATTGATCTACAAAGAAATCAATATACTTTTTTCTTCGATGGAGAGGAATATACGAAAAAAAGCTAAAACAGTCGCCAACCTCATTCATGCAAAAGTTTTAAGCGATTGGTCAAACGAATGCAATGTTCTTGTTATGCAATCTCTGATTGTTACTTCGAAAGTGATAGTTTCTAATATCGTCCTATTTTTAGCAGGTTATATGTGCATTACTTAGCTGTATTCCTATTGTTACACCGGACTACTTGGAAGAAATCAAGAAAATCCAAGGCTACACATTCGCAACGAAACCTGATCCAGTATCACATAATTCTTGACTTTTAACCCTCTAGAAAGACTTTTTGCCGATTATGAAGGAGGAAAAACTGACACAGAATGACGCCTCGAAGTTTCTCCCCAATGATTTGCGACGTCTTTTATTTAGTGGAAAGGTATTCTTTGTTCTAAATAAAGACAAGGTTAGTCGTAGATCTGACTATAAACTATTCGTGGTTGTAGTACAATATTCTGTCGGAGATAATCCGTTTGGGGAACGGGAGTTCATGTTTACTTGATTCTCCCGATGCTCTACTTACCTCCAATTCAAACAATAAAGTGCATGTGACTGGACATATTGCTGTAGATGATCTCCTTCGTGATATTTTATCGAAACCAGAGTCGTGCGTCGTTCATTTTCATCCCACATCTGTAACCGAATCATGGCAGCGAAAGGTATATTCTGTATTGCGTAGTCTACGCCGCAGACCCATTCTAGAATCAGAACTGGGTTTCGCTGTTGTATATTGCTCGACAAAGTTATATTGCAATCCAGATAAACGCTGCCGTAAGCAATTATCAGTATCTTCTGTTTTTAGACGTGTAATTGTTTTTTCATGTCATTGAAAATTTTCGGCAATCGTTTTTTATCTTATACTAAAGTGACGTGTAGTCAGTGAAGAGATAAACTGAGTATTTAAGATTCCATTCCGTTAACATGCCGTGTGTCATTGTTTGACCTATTAATTTCAAGCGAATTGACCATTTGTTATGTTGTTTATGAAAAAATAATGTTAATCTTTACACAATTTTGTATGAAAATTAGATTGTGTTGATTGTAATTCGTTCCATACTAGAGTCGTTTCATGAAATCGTGATTCCTGGCAACGAATATCTAAGATGATCTTAAAGATTGAATAGTTTTGTAAAACTCCGATTTGTAAATTAAATCGGCAAAAGCAGTATATGTTGCTTTCAACAACCATGAAACAGATGTTAGGGTCCGCGTGACTGTCGTAACTAATGGTTGGAGACTCTGGTTGACATGGCTCAGAATCGATCACGGTAGCGTCGGTGTATACACTCTCTGTCTTCCCTTGAACTATGAGATTAAAATCGCTTAATATCTTTCTTTCTATCTACGTACTAAAACATTCTTCCTGTACTACATCCTTATATGCAATCTTTCTTATACATATTACCACCATTGAATTAATTACTCCTATGAATCCGGTGTTTATCTTGTTGTGCTAATGCGGTATGGCAACTTGGACCGATGCATATACGTGCCTGGTCTTACGTTGTAGCTGACTGACTGAAACTAATGTTAGAAGTGTCGAAATTATTGAGAAGGGTTTCCCTAAAAATAAAGAATTAGCGGCTGGAACTTATAATTTATCGTTAAACCTTACTGCGTTTAGCAGAAATTAAGGCTTAGATACTCATCCAATTTGTATCAATTATTCAAACAAATAACTAATCTGTTCATATCTGATAGTATTAATACACAAGTATAACTCTACCTTTTTTACACTTACAATCACTCACATACTGCACATGAGTATATCTCACATAATTACCTAAACCTGAGCGAAATGACGTTATGACCAAACTAGTTTTGAATGTACTAAATATCTTACTTTGACCCCTTTGTGCTATATTATATTGTACTCATTTAATCACAGTTGTTTACTCATTCTTTGAAGAAGTGACTTGCAATAAGTCGCGGAACTCCGACCGTTGCTGCTACCTTAACGTGATTGTCGGGCTTACTTGTCGTAATGAACCAATAGAAATTTATTTGTTGGAACAATCGTTCCTCAAGGGCCTACCATGTCAAACAGGTCGGTTAAAGAATAGTAAGACTACTGACAGTACAGAGGTGTGATGGCAGTAAGATATTTCCTTCAGACACCAAGCATAACAGCGATGCAGACTTCCCACAAGGAAGGGTGGGGTTAGAAAAGGTCGACCCCCAAAGTGCACACCTCACCTTATCCTACAGATTCCTATCTCCGGCCGTAACGCCCCAACAAGTACGGAGCTAACACGAAAATTGCTCACAAAAGTTGTGTGTGACCGGTCTCAAGCGGTTGTCACTTGGGCAATCGTTTATTTCTGACAAGCACTATTTTTAAGCATAAGGAGAGACATCGTCTGATATGACGACCCCATGCACCAAACCAGCGATGAACTCAAATAGACCATATCGCCATCAGTCATCGTTGGAGGGGCTCGACAGAAGACTGCCACCCGTTCTCGAGTACATGTTTAGACTCTGATCATACTCTAATACGAGCACGCATTTGCTCGCGCCTCACTGGACACAGGAAAATCACATTAAGAAGACCCATGAAAGTTGAACTCAGTGACGAAAAAGTTAAGAGTAGATTCCGGGAACAAATGAGGACACACTTAGGTAGTTCTGAAAACTAGGCTAACCCAGATGTTGATTAGAAAGATATACGAACATCTGTGGAAACAGCTGCGACAACTATTGCACTGATAGATTTTCGTGAACTTAGCCGATCAGGCTCCGAACGCGATGAAAGCGAAAACAAATAAGATATAAGCTAGTCAAAAGCCTGCGGAACGATCGTCATCAGTCGCAGGCAACGAAAGCAAAGGATGGAAAAGGCAGCGGCTGTAGGTAACATCAGACATCTTTTCAGACTAATCAAGGAAACCGGAATTAAAAAGTGTGAAACAGTTTTGGGAAAAAAGACACCCTTATCTGCTCTCGGTTTAGAGATTTAGAACGATAAACGGAACACTTCAAGGAGCAATTTGAATTAAGCTCCTCGACACTGATTGAAGTTCAAAAGCTATAGCAGATGGATTAACTCTAGATGTCTTTAAGGATGGTGGTTCAGTTTTAGCGATTAGGTTGACAAATATTTTCGCTAAAATCTGGGAATAGGACGTAATCTCATGTGACTGGTCGCAACCACTGATCGTCTAAATATATGAAAAGGGGTCGAGGTCATCCTGTGCTAGCCATAAAGGGATTAGTTTGACCAATATAACATCTAAAACACTAACCTCAATAATTATCGGACGCCTTAGAAAGACTCGTGAACTGCAAACACGAGAAAATCAGGTTGGCTTCAGATCTAGTCGTGGCTGCGTCGACCACATATTCACCGCTCATCAGATTTTAGAACACAACCATGCTCATTCTTGCCCGACAATGATAGTTTTTTTTATTTAGAAGCAGCATTTGACTCTGTAGAGTGAGAGGTTCTGTGGCAGTGACTGTCGTTGAAAGGTGTACCTCAGAAGTATATAAACCTTGTGAAGGCTCTTTACTCGAACACTATCAGTCTGGTCAGAGCTTATTGAGAACTGTCATCTGATTTTGCACTCTCAAGTGGTGTCCGCCAAGACTGTCCACTATCTCTATTTCTGTTCAATTTCGTCATAGACCTACTGCTGGAAATAACGTCGTCGTCGACTGCATTTTCAGGCACTGATCCCTTACCAGGAGGTTCACTTATGGACTTAGGATACGCAGATGACATAGTCATGTTTGATGAAGCTGATAAAATGCAGTCTTTTGGTAGTACTCAGCAACAATGCCAGAATGTTTGGGATGCGCTTCTACCCCTCTAAATTCTAGTTGTTGCTTCAGGACTAGTCTGCGTCAACACCTGAACTAAGGATAGGGGGTGAAGTAGTCGAGCGCGTTGGCAACTTCACTTATATTGGAAGTCTGGTCAGCCCTAGTGGGTTGGTGTCTGATGAAATCTCAGCATGGATTCAAAAAGCTCGTTTGGCTTTTACCAAATTACGTGACCTATGGTGAAGGAGAAATTCCCATTCACTAATCAAGGGACGAGTATGCTGCTCAGCAATTTGTTCTGTTCTACTTTACGGCTGCGAAACGTGGCCATTAAGAGTTGAAGATACTCGTAAGTTACTAGTACGCGATTGCAGATGTCTTAGAAATATTGCTGGGATCACCGGGTAGGTGATGGTGAGGTTAGATGTGTAGGGTATTAGGGAACGATGGCAAACCAGTTGATGAGGTTGTGAATTTTCATCAACTGAGATAGTTGGGTCACCTGTTATGTATGCCTGAACGCTGATTACCATGACGCGCAATGCTGACTAGTATTGGAGACGTATGGAAGTTAGGGGCGGCCAAACCAAAACGTGGCATCAGTCCATTAGGTCACTAACTTCTGGTCTGATCCACGTTGGTGGATGCAGACCATTTGGTTGGGGTCTGTGTGACTATCGTTACCAATGATTGGAGACTGGGTGACATGGCTCAAAATCAGTCACGTTGGCGTAGGTGTACACATTCTTTGTCTTCCCTTAAACCGTGAGATTAAAACTACTTTATACCTTTCTTTCTACGAACTAATTCTTCCCTCTGTATCATATCATTATGTGCAATCTTTCTTATATATTACCACCTCTGAATTAACTACTTTTATGAATACGGTGTCCATCTTGTTGTGTTAATGCGGTATGGCAACTTGGACCGATGCATATATGTGTCTGGTCGTGCGTTGTAGATGACTGACTGAAGTCACGAAACATCAGAAGATCAATTTTCTACTCATTGGGATATTAATAATATTTTAATTATTTCTTGTTTTGCTTAGCTGATGGATTATACCAAGAAATTGATATATCTGGTACGTTCTCGGTGAATCCGTTTCAAATAGACTCGGAAGTTGTCTCATCAGAACTTAGTCAATTATCTACTACAGTGGTTGGCGCGAAAATTCCTGACTCTACTCATAGGAAGTTTGTCCCTACTGTTTCTTTCCGATCGCATCATTGTTTTAGTTCTTTTGTTTAATTTTTTACTTTTCCTAGGAAAATTCACAATATCGCAAGAACGAAAACTCCAAACATTTAATCCGTTAGGTCTTTGACCACCTCTTTAATGAAATCGCCGGTTTGAACCAGAACTATTAGCTTCGTTTTACTTGTTTGCAAATAATATAGTAATCGATTTTATATGTATCAAATTGTTTGCTTCGGAAAACACTTCAAAAATTGAACATGATGTCTGTGAATCTAAACAAAGGAAAAGCAAATGCGCCTTTCCTCTTGAAGGCACGAGGCGACTTTAATTTTATTAATTTTCTAGAGGATATTTAGGGATAATCTTAGTTTCAATCTTTGTTTTCACTTTAGATTGACTATTTGTCTTTTCATATCAGAAGAGTTTTTGTGGATATTATAGTAATTTCAATTTGTCTTTTCACAATTTTTCTATCTTATTTCTTGTTTGATTTTCAGTCATTTGGGTTTGGGCGTCTGTCATCATTTCTGTGAATTTAGTCAACAGAATTGGTTGTAAATCATTTTCCAAGCAGTGGTATAAACTCAGATTATTCTTCGCATAAGAACCAGGGTTATTAGCCAGCAACACAAACCAAAATTAGTAGTGCAAAGTTTGAACATGTTATCTGCTTGTTAGAATTTGAGTGTGTTAACCTCTAAGGGGATACAACAGTGACTCTTGGTTCTGAAATAGTGCTTCGCCGAACTCGATCTCCCCACACTATATACTATAATTGATAGACTTGTAAATTCATACCCATGGAATTCAACCAACTTCATTTGTCCAAAATAATGTTCGCTTTTGTCATAGAAGATAATGTTTCTGTCTCTTTCAGCTGTCGCATTGATCTTCAGATAAAAATTACAAGAATCTCTCGTGGCTTTTAACGATAGTTGGGTTTGGTAATGGTTGCTCTAGGGTTTTCATACTTTAAAATCTGGTATCATTGGCTTGAAATAATCTATAAACCTAATGTATTTTTGGAGCATTCAACACTTATCACCTATGTTTTCTGCGTTTTAAGATGAAATGGGGTCTCTGCAGTTTGTTTTATCTAAGTAATCAGATCTATGATGTTTATTTTTATTTGCCTTTTTATTGTTTCATACCCAATATTTATGTGTACAATATTCTCTTAGTTTTTCATCTAAAATGAAGAATACCGAATCAGACTCTGGACTCAAATCAAGATCATATCAAACTGCAAGGTTATGTGAACGTAAATTTGGGTCTACTATATCTAAAATTGTTCCTGTGAAAACTGTTAGTGTTCTAATTTTAAATGTTCATCCGATTTGGTGTCTAATTAATCTCTCACTGTAACTGATTTTCTTGGTATAGTCTGTGTTTTAACCAAACTGCCCATTTTAGGATGTTTGACACTATGTGGCTACCCAAACCAAATATAATTCCAGTGGCTTTAGGTCTGACAATCGTTATAGCTGAATTAAGCAATGACTTTCCTGATTAATTACTTTTTGATGAAGCGAAACGTTTATTGCATTATGCAACTTTGATTTCAACTTAATTATATACGATTCATCATTGAAACAAATACTACACTTAAATCGTCTGATTAAGTCAGTATATCATAGTTATTCCACTGTTCGTAACCTATCGTGGTTGTATTAGATTTTTCGTGGTGTAGCTTACTAATGAAACCTGTTAAATATGGTAGAAACTGGCATCTTCGAAGTTGAAAATAAATCTATCTCACAGCTTAACAATGTTCATATTTAGCTACTGATTATAACAATTGAATGCAAATTTATGCGTGACAATTCAAATTTTTTTTTGAAAAACATCTCAGCGAATTGGAACACTAAATTTTAATATCATTTCAAGATAGAAAAGCAGACTGTTATACTTTTTTGCCTTGACTAAGTGTAAAAATTCCGTCTAGTTGATTGTGTTTACATGAAAAGAGAATTGTTTGGAAAAGTTTCTCATAAATTTGTCGTCCTACTTCTGGTTGATAGTTTTAAATTTCAGGATTTTTCTCATCATCAATCATTTTCATTCAAAATCCGCTATTAACTAAGTGATCAGTAGTTTGATGGTTAAGGAGTTCGACCTTGGACCACTAGGTCTCATGATCGGGTTCTGTTCCACCTACTTCAATTTAAGTAAATAGGCAGTACCACTAATCCTCGTACATAAGGTATGGCTTGAAGTCGAGTATAATAATCTGTATTTGGCGAGTTGCATTGATCTTTTTCTTTCAATTTGCTCTGAAACAATTCCTCAAAACTACCAGCCTTCAATATTCTTGTAAATAAGCATTTCCTGTAAGTTTTGTGATCGAATAGCAAATAATTCTAATATTTAAGTTACTATGTATATAGAAATTGACTTCATTCAGCCGAATTATTATATACTATACTATATATAATTTTGTGATATGTTATATCTTCACTTTTTTTGTTAAGCAAAAATTCGGATCTCTAGTTGTTTGTTTTTCTTAATAGCCTGAGCGTATAACTGTGGGAAACGTTTTAGCACATGACTCAGAGCCTTAGTAAGTCAAAATTTTGTTAATTCGCCACAAACTGCACATTTGGATTTGGAAAATCAAGAGCCTTGTAAACTTGAAGCAATCTTGAAAAACAGTATCTTTACTTCAACCTTCGGTAATTGATTTTTTCAATAATTTATTTGAATTTAGATATAAGAATTTGGTTTATCACCCATTTTAGACAGAATAATCTCTTATAATTCCTTTGCATTTGATTAACTGATTGCTTTCTTACAAATTTTTTTCACTCGTGTTACTTGCACCTTTACTATGAATAGGGTCTTTTATTTCATCTGTTGCTCATTTTGTAAACACATATTTTGATTGAGATCATGAACCGATTGATGTTAGACCACCATTGAAAACATGATCTAACATCAATCGGTTCATGATCTCAATCAAAAACTTAATAATCTCCACAACCCCTATACTGACACTTATTTTAGACTGAGAAATTTAACTGTGGTTTATTGTTATAAGTTGCTTTGATATATTTCTGTCCTATTGTCTGAGGAAAATCATTTTTAGATACAGTTATTCACAAATAACGTCGAACTTGACATAAAGCTGTGCCGTCCCATTTCGCCACACTCAGGAAGAAATTCACAAGATGAAGAACTAGCGATTCAAAAACAATATTAACGGCGATAAAAAATGAAGGTAGAAAATATAAATGAACTGGATCACAGTCCAATAGTAATAGTTCTAAAATAAAATTAAAATTACTATTTAGATATGGATAATGAATAAGTACATCTGCGCAACTGCAACTACTTTCATCTGAATTCTCTTAAACTTTAGCAGGAAGTTTCATCTCTTAAGACAACTCATCCATGGTCAATTACCTAATAGATTGCTACTTTATCTTAGTCCGGTCGTTTTATCCTAATTCCAGAATACTTCTCTAAGCACCATTGCATATTGGAGTATGTGGTAGCTCTGCTTTGATTTCCAATCCACCTTAGTCAATAAAATTGCTGAGTCTCGTCAACCAACATACTATTTTTATCTAGTGTTTTACTTTAAAATTCAGTACCGCACGAGTAATTCAAAAAAGATTTCAACACTTAGGGGGCTCCGACAGAGATCTATCCTTCATTAATTTAAACTGTTTTACGAATAACTTCGTCTTCTATTTTTGCCTGTTCGTAATCATTTTTTCTATGTTCATACTTTAAATTACATGTCGTTTCCGTTGTATTTTCCGCAGAATCATCATTGATTCATCAACCTTTAGCATGCACTGATAAGAATGATTTGTTAAACACATTAAACAATATGCCTTCACTTCTTCAAACAAAAATTAAGCAAGGTACGTTGCTCGAGTCTAACGTCAATAATAGGAAGAATACAACTCAGCTCTCACCATCATTTTCTAACAAAAGTTTTGACAGTATCAAACCGGAAATCCCTAAGTATGAATTATTATTGGAAAATGATGCAAATTCATCTGTTGTAACTGGATCGAATTCATGCAGCCTCGATTTAAATAATGGTCATTCATTTCCATCTAATAATGAAGATCGTCGATCAGGAAGTTGGCTCCGAAAACATCCAGCTGATAACGGTGCTGGTATTGTTGATACAGTAAGTTTTATTACCTTCTATGGATTAATATTTCCAGTATAACACGGCCCGGAGTACAAGGACTAATTTCTTCAGTAAAGATGTTACCCACAATACAATAGTCCTTTGGTTAAACTTACTAGTATCGGAAGCTGTACAAAAGAGGACCAACAAATGGAAAGTCTTTCAAGTGATATTGTAAGAGCTAAGTGAAAGGGATGATTTAATTTGTTTATTCTGGTTAGTGTTTTTTTAGCAAGATTGTTTCTACAGGATAAGGTTGCTGACATTATGCCCAACCCTCGTCTTTACCCGGGCTTGGGACGGCAGTAACCCTAGAAAAGCTATAGGCTGAGTGGAAAAGTGACAGGACCTGATAATATACCAGCTGAAGCACTGGAGTCAGACATACGATCAACTCCAAACATGCTCCACGTTCCATTCAAAAAGATTTGGGAGGAAGAACAAGTGCCGATAGACTGAAAGGAAGGATATCCCATCACAATACAAAAGAAAGGAGATCTGAGCAAGTATGAGAACTACAGAGGCATCACGCTACTGTCGGTGCCAGGGAAAATCTTCAACAGAGTGTTGCTGAACCGGATGAAAGATTCAGTCGACACCCAACTTTGAGATCAACAGACCGGATTACGTAAGGATCGGTCGTGCACAAACCAGATCGCGACACTACGGATCGTCGTTGAACAGTCGATTGAATTGATTTCGTCACTATACATTAACTTCTTTGATTATGAGAAGGCGTTTGAGAGAATGAATAGGAGAACCTTATGGGACTTTCTTCGACACAAGGGTGTACGTGAGAAAATCGTCAACACCATCCGGAATCCATAGAACGGACTACACTGCAAAGTCGTGTATGGAGGACAGCTGACAGACACATTCCAAGTAAAGACCGGAGTTAGACAAGGTTGTTTACTCCCCGCCTTCTTTTTCTTCTGGTGTTTAACCTGATTATGAATACCTTCACATCTGACTGGAAGCACGGAATGCAATGGATAGCTTGGATGCAACTAGATGTTTTGGACCTCGCTGATAACCTAGCTCTTCTATCCGATAGGATACGCAAGGTACCCAATGTTCGTTGGGCGGATACCATCAGCAACAGGGTACCGTGGAAGAGAACTAACCGGCTTCAATTTGGAGAAGAAATTAAGAAAAGACGCTGGAGGTGAATAGGACGTACATTGTGGAAGTCATCAAACTGCTCCACGAAGCAAGCTCTAACTCGGAATCATGAGGGGAAACAGAGAAGAGGAAAACCAAAGAACGAATTGCACCGAGAATTGAAAGCAGACATGAAAAGGGTGATTAGCAACTGGAAGGGACAGAGTTGGATGGAGAATGCAAGTGGTTGGTCAATACTCCTCCACGAAGTGTAACATGTGTAAGTAAGTAAGTGGACGGGATATGTTCTCTTCGGTTACTAGAGCGAAACATACTGAGTGTTTATAAAATAGTCATCCCACGGATCAATTTTGGCTTTCTTGCAGATCGTAGTGAAGAAGCTTATACATCTCAGTCTTCAGTCAGTCAGTAACAACGTAGGACTTCGTACGTACGTACGTACATCAGTTCGAGTTGCCACACCACATTAGCACAGAGATGCATTGGTCGATTCAAATCCCGTATTGGTAGAGGTGGTAGGAGTATAAGCAGAAATCGGAAAGATTAAGATGTGATGTTCTTCAAGGAGTATAATCCAATGAAATCAACTTGGAAAGAGGAAAAAAGGGACATGAAGAATTGAGAAGATTAGAATTTGGGAGAACACAAAGAGTGAATGCACCTGCGCCATTGCAAACGATTTTGAGCCATGTCATTCAGGGTCTCTAACCATCGGTTGTTATCATCTCGCGGTCCCCAACCACAAAGTATTGCTGGACCGGATGAGTGATTCAGTAGACGTCCAACCTTGAGATTGACAGGCTGATCCTCGTAAGGACAGATCATGTACTGATCAAGTAGTGACATTGCAGATCATTGCTGAACAGTCAATTAAGTGGTACTCATCACTAGACACTAACTTCATGAATTACGAGAAAGCACCTGATAGCATGGATAGGAAAGTCATATGCAATCTCCCACACTACAGAATATCTGAAAAGATCGTCATCACCATATGAAACTTTTATGGGGGACAGAGTTGCAAAGTTGTGCGTGAAGGGTTAGCTTACGGATCTATCTCAAGTGAAGAGTGCTATCAAAAAAAGGTTGTTCATTCTCACCTCTTTTCTCCCTTGTAATCGTTGACTGAACTAAGAGAACCTGCATACATCAGGAAAAGCACGTCAGTCAGTCAGTAACAACGTAGAAATTCGTACGTACGTACATCAGTCCGAGTTGCCACACCACATTAGCATAGAGATGTAGTGGTCTATTCAAATCCCGTAGTGGTAGAGGTAGCAAGAGTATAAGCAGTAGTCGGGAAAATTAGTGTTTGGAGATGTTATTTAAAGAGTATAATCCAGTGAAATCAACTTGGAAAGAGAAAAAAGAGACAAGGAGGAATCAGGAGATTAGAATTTGAGAGAACACAGAGAGTGGATGCACCTGTGCCATTACAAACGATTTTGAGCTATGCCATTCAAGGTCTCTAACCATCGGTTGCTATCATCTCGCGGTCCCCAACCAGGTAGTCTACACCTACCAACATGACTCAGTCCACTTGTCAGTGACTTCATGGACTTGTGCCATGTTTTGGTTTGGCCGCCCCTAGCTTTCTTCCAACCTACTCCTATACAACAAAACATCGCACGTCGAGGCAGTCGGTCGTTGGGCATACGTAACACGTGTTCCGGCCATCTCAACTGATGAAGTTTCACTACTTCATCAATTGATTTGCCATCCTTACCTAGTACCAGTTTCCTAACAACTGCATTACTTACTCGATGGTCCCAGGATATACGAGCAATGTTTCGAAGACACCTATGATCAAATACTAGTAACCTACGAATATCCTCTACTCTTACCGGCCATGTTTCACTGCCATAAAGTAGGACGGAACGAACTGCTGCGCAGTAAACACGTCCTTTGGTTGATAGACGGATATCTCGCCTACGCCATAAATGACGCAAGTTGGCAAAAGCTAGTCGAGCCTTCTGTATCCGTGCTGAGATTTCGTCACACACCAGACCACAAGGGCTGATCAGACTTCCAAGATAAGTGAAGCGGTCGACACGCTCAACTACTTCACTCCCTATCATTAGTTCGGGTGTAAATGCGACCCAATCCTGAAGCAACATTTTGCGTTTCGAGGGGAGAATCGCATCACGAACATGCTTGCATTGTTGCTTAGAGTGGTCAGAAGACTGCATTTTGTCAGCGTTTTCACCAAATAGAACTATGTTATCGGTATATTTTAGGTCAACAAGTGAATCTCCCGGTAGGAGTTCAACTCCTGGAAATCCACATGAGGAATGTGTTATCTCTAAAAGCACGTAAACGAAAAAGTTAAACAAGAATAGAGAGAGTGGACAGCCCTGAAGAACACCACTTGAGGTAATCAATTCTGATGACAGTTCGCCATATGCTCTCATTCTACCAGTTGTGCTCGAGTAGAGAGCCTTTACAAGGTTAATGTACTTCTTTGGTACTCATTTCAGTGACAAACACTGCCATAGAACCTCACGATCAACAGAGTCGAATGCTGCCTTAAGGTCGAGAAATACTACGATTGTGGGGCGTCTGGGTGTGTGTCTATGTTCTAGGACCTGTAGTAGTGTGAATATCTGATCTATACAACCACGTTGTTATAATCTCTTCTTCTTACGGTTATGACCGAGCTATTCCTATTGCTTAGTATTCTTGGACACTAAATCACTCGACAAGACCCCAAATCAGAACATGGTTGAACAGGAAAGAGATTATATTCCAAATAACAAGGTTAGATGGAAGTAAGAAGCAAGTCAGAAGCGCAATAGGGAAAACGTCAGTATATTATAGTTTTCACATAAGAAGATTCCAGAGTATTCTCCAACTATCGACTAGTGCTGATTGGATAAGAATTAGCTAATCAGCGTGCACCAAAGCAATCATGCATTGAGCATGCTTTAATCTAGTCTATGTCCCGCTAACACACGTCCAGGTCGAAAACCAGCCTGATTTTCTCTAGTCTGCTCTTCACGAGCTTTGGTTAGGCGTCGAAGTATTATTGAAGCTAATATTTTAGACACTATATTAGTCAAACTGATTCCTCTGTGATTGTCACAAGAGAACTTTTGTCCTTTTTTATAGACTGGCACAATCAGTGATTGAGACCAGTCAGATGGGATTACGTCCAGTTCCCAGATTCTACCTAAGACCTCAGTCAATCTCGCTGCCGATACTGGACCGGCATTCCTAAAAATCTCGGGAGTGAACCTGTCAGGGCCTGCTGCTCTCCCACGCTTCAGACTTTCTATAGATTTTTCAACTTCGTAAAGAGTCGGAGGACTTACGTTAACTTGCCATTCAGGTAAACTAGAGATCGTGGGAAACCGAAGTGTGGCTGAAGGCCAATTGAACTGATCCCTAAAGTGTTCTGCCCATCGATCCAATCTCCTGGATTGAGAATGTATAATATATCCATCTTTCTCTGAGAGTGTTTCGCTAACAGTCGGTCTCCTTATACCGGTTTCCTTAACAAGTCTGAACAATTATCTGCTGTTACCTATTGCCGCTGCCTTTTCCATCTCTCTTGCTTTCGCTGCCCACCACTGTTCACGATCATTGCGTAGACTTCTTGTCAGCTTGCGCCTAAGCTGATTCCGCTCTTCGTTATGTTCAGGGCCAGATGGAATGAGTTTTCGAGCACCTATCAGTGCGGTAAATGCTGCTGAGATCCATTGTTTCTGCTTAGCCCTATGGTTTACCTTACTAGAAGATATCATTGCTGTTTCCACAGCTTTTTGGATGTCATTCCATGCTGCCTCGGGGTTGGCATCACATACATGGCTGCCTAACTGATTTTCTAGTTGTTCCTGAAATATACTCTTAGCTTGGCCATCATTAAGTAGGTCCCTAAGAGGCTTCCTTGCAGCGTCTTTCCTACGTGAGGTAAGACGCAGACAAATACGCGCTCGTACTAGAGCATGATCTGAATCTAAGCATGTACTTTAGAATAAGCGATACGTCTAAGCAACTCAAATTGTCAGTTTAAAAATTATCAAGATTGTTTGTACTAAATCTGTGTGTGTTAATTACTATCTTCTGGGTAAGTTTTCGAAAGCAGACTTTTCTGCAGTCACACCGAATTAACTAGACAACTCGGAGGTCTCATTTGTTATAATTCCAAGCCTTAGTTTTTAAAGTATTGGGATTTTCTGTAGCGAGAAATATATGTCCCTTCCACTAGACACCCAGGCTGTATCACAGCCCACAAACAAATCAAGTGACTTATGTGGCGCATATGTATTCGGTGCCCCTTTGTACCAATATTTGTGTTCAAATAAATAAATAAGTCCCTGCCACTTTGTTCCCTTTTATTTTGAGGTTTTGTATAGTTACATACATAGTGATCACTGGTTTCTCCTTAAATCATTTCACTCACTGGACTTAAAAGGTGTACCTTCCTCAACCATGTTTGCTAGTTGAATTCACTGTCATTGGCAAACCATTATTTTTATCATAGTGCAGTCAATGGAATTCTTTAATTAACAATAATGATTGCATAAATTGAATTGTCGATTTAGTGTTGAGATTTCCATCGAAGGTTAAAAGGAATACTAATTTTGCAATTTATCAAAACATACCAAAGTAATATAAAATTACTACGCTTGAATTAACTTATATATAACTGATGTTTGGTGAGTAGATTATTATATTGTCCAGGTGTTTTTTTTTTGAAAAAATGATTTATTCTGAAGAACTAAACATATGAATAAGACTACTAAGTTAGTTTCTTCGGGTTTTTTCCCCGGACACATTAGGCACAGCGAATTAAATAACGGTAGTAAGTAATGCTGTATAATATGGTGAACAGGAATAGCATATTAAATATTAGTTTAGGGACTTGTAGTTTGTTCTTTACAACTAATCTATGAAATCTTATTACACTCAAGTGTTTTCTTCCGTGATAATAGGTTATCTGTTCCAATCTGTTTGTCTTCTCAAATTTAAATGTTCTGGCGTAAAAAAGCTTAAACTTATTTTCTCCAAATGTTTATTTGTATTTCTAATTAGTTAAATCAAACAAACTTGGTAATTCTTGCCCCTATAACTATCCCTCAGAAAGTTCCACAACTCCACAGTGACAAACAGTTAAATAAGGTCAACTTTAAAAACTTTATCAAAGTAAGTAATTATTGTTGTTGCTATTTTAACATTTTTAACACGTATATATGCACGAATCTGTATATGGAGTTTGAGGATGTGTGCTATTTTCACGTCTTTTAATTGAATGATATGATTTTGTCAATGCCAGTTATAAGGAGTTCAACATTTTGTAGGTCTTACGCCTAACGAGATGTATTTCGTTGAAAGCTAGTCGATCCTTAAGAAATAACATGGCTGATTATAGTAGTCTATTTAGTTATTTACTCTATCACGATGTATCCATAAATATCGCTAAACACTTTTCGCTAGTATTTGACTGGATACGATTATTTGCAAAGTTACTGTAAAATATGTTTGATGGATAAACCATTTGTCCAATTTACTACTAAATATTGCGCCTTGTTTAACCATACATCGACAAATATGGGCCAGGTGACGTATTTAACCAACAACCAGCTATACACTTTAGAAAAAAGTTTATCATGCATGTTGTATTCATGAACGAGATATGTGCACCGACGTGACAACCAGGGTATGAAAAAGGTTTAAAAATCCTATTCAAGATGACTGCGAGAGTGGTCGTCCATACTACAAACCTATTTCTTAATTTACTCAAGCACAGGAAGATGTGTCATAATAAGCCTAACGTTTTGGAAAACAACGTTCAAAACCATAAGAAAAAGTATCAACAGTAATATTCGAGTTCACAAATTATCGCAAATTCATATTCTGTTCATTAGATACCTATACTCCAGTCCTTCGGTTAGTTGATGTTTTACTTAGTCTAGTAAATGAAACCTTTAAATAAATTTACAAAGAATCTAATCGCTTTGTAAATTTTCTGTGACCGTGTGCTATGTCTTTCACTTATCCGTCCTATTTCTTCTTTGTATTGTTTCCTAAATGGAAATATTATCTGTCATTCTAGATCTGGCCACCCTATCTACCTCGGAACACATCCATAAAACCTTGTGTTCCCAGTTCGTACTTGTCAAAACCTATTCCTCTGACTTCTTATCAACAAACACTAGAAAAATGTGACAGTCGCAAAAGTCTTGTAAAGTCAAAACAGCCATTAGATAATGAGCAGGAGCGAATTAACAAACTTTTCGAGTGAGTAGGTCAATCTTTTTTTTCAGTAAACTTTAAATGTACTGATGCATTTATTTCTGTCCAAATCCGTTAAGCATAAAGTTTCGGTGATCTTACTCGGCTATAATGATACCGTAAAGCTAAAAAAGGACTTATCACATGTAGGATATATATGGGTCTATTTGATTTTTAGGCTTTACTTAAATTGTAAACATATTTTGAAATACTGCATTTACATGTACTTATAAAAGATTCAGGAATATCTAGTGTAATTTACTTATATGGAACCCTCACCAACGCAAAATCCTTACATGTAAGCAAATAATTTTTACCTATGTATTAATGAAGTAGTGTTTGTATACACTTTGTTGTTTAAAAATCCGACCGTCTGTAAATTTTACTGGTTCCCCAACTGTAGTGTATTTGGTGTAATTTTCGAGTTTATTGGAATTGTTAGTTAGGGAAGATTATCTTCTATTTCATCAGCTAATTGTTATTCTAGTGATCCTAGATAAACTATTGAATAAACGTAAATTTATAAAGGGGATTGTGAGGTCTGTATCGTATTCATTTTAAGTAAACAATTGTTTTGATTTCGTAGTTGGTGATTTAATCAGATACGTTTATATCGTGGTAGTTTGACTCTTCTAGTACTGTAACCCCAATCGAGACCGTAAATTTCAAATGCAGAGTATTCGAAAATGGGCTCTGTTGTAAATCTTCACAAAATAAGAAGTATAGGATGATTTTTTGTCCCTAACATTTGGTCGAAATTCGTTTACAGTGGTACAGCCGCAACCTTATTTGTGTAATTGGTTCTTAAGAGAAATCTCAATCTCTTTATTTGCTTGTCCTCAATCACTGAGCTGTTTATATTTGTTGTGACTGAAAGTCAATCTTATGCCGACTATTGAACTTGTCTTAAACTACTGGTGTTATACAACTCGAGGATTTTTACGTACGGTATGAGATAGTTAGACATTGTACGTAGTCATATAGAATATGTATGGGAAACAAAAATTGTTGGTTTTTAATTAGAACTTCAACATCTTTTATTCCAATATACCTTAATATATGCATAAATGAAAAACCTTAAATCGGTCAGAGCATTTTTTTGATTTAATAACTCAAACAATATAGCCGATCGGGATGAGTAATATTTAAAGATGGTTTGGATTGTCCCGTTAATTTTTTGACTGAGATTTGACTATTCATTGTTGGCAATATGGACATCCTGTGCGGATTGCTCCGATATAGCAGTTATGACAAGTTGACACAGAAGCACACGGTACTGAGTTCGAGTCCTGGAGTGAACATCAACTCTGGGGTCTAGATAGACCTAGCTAATTTACCCCGTTAGGGTGAAACGGGCATCCTGGACCCCAACGCTAGGGAGATTCCATCTATTATATATTAACTATCTTTATTGGCATCACATGACTAAACAACACAGAGATTTATTGAAGCATAACATGTCCACTACTTTTTAATTTTCAGATAAACTAATAATTGTACTCCAGATGTGTAAATTGTTTACTGAAATTTTGTATTTTGACTTTCAGAGAATCTTGTAAAGCTCCATCACTCAAAAAGTTCGGGAAACTCACGACTTTTTAATTTATATAACATTTCCTTGGTTTCGGCAATACAAACACATTGTAATCCTTCAAATGATACTTTTCCCCCTCAGTTTGTTTTAGCCAAGTAAAGATGTCTTGAGGGATCTCAGGAGTATTGTTTGTATGTAATCAAAGATAATTTTACTATCACTATTGTGTTCAGAATAGGGTAGTATGGTTCACTCTAAGACCCCTTAATTCGCTTTTAAGTACTCTTTTGTGAATCAGTTCTCACGGCGTTATCGTATTTATTTTTATTTATTTGTTTGAACTCATATACATAGATACAAGGGGGCGCCAATTACATACGCGCCACACAATAACAATGGGGTTGTGAAGAGATAGAGAATATAGAGTGCGTATAATAGAAAAAGAACAACAACCAACAAGAATTAGTGTATGCAAGTGAAATAATAATAATGGGAGGAACAGTTCAGTTAACAAAAATTTAACCAGAAAGAATTCTTTCAATTAGAGTTACGTTCATTTCTTATGAAGTAAAAGAAACTTACAACAGGATTGTCACTGGCTTCTATTCTGAGTCATCTCTAGGACCAGTCTTATTCAACTTCCTATTATACCATGACACCATGCCATACACTGACCACCTCTTCGCTCTTTCCAACCGCAAGCGATTTTACTCGCCATTTTCATGGCAATGGCAACCAATACTAATATATACTTTTTGGTGAATGATAATTAGCCTCAAACCTAGCTCGGTTTGATATTCATTTGCAACAGATGCTGTAACCAGTTTGCCGACTTCGATCCATTTAAGACGACAAATTTGTTGGCCACTGAAACATAAGGGATGATTAGAGTCCAAATAGGTACTCCAAAAAGAGCGGCAGTTTTGTGTACAATCACGCCAGCAGTAGTTGATCGCGATGCGATCAGTCTGAGTCCAGGCTTGAGATGCAAAGAAAGGACGCCAGGTGAGACATCGGCGATGACTGTGCCGATAGTTAATCCCAACCGGAAACAGGTTGTAGTCTGCGCAGTAGACGGTCCTCTTTATCTGAGCTGCGACCGACAAGTCCTCATTGGTTACCCAAATGACTCTCCTCTGTGCTTAGACGCCTAACATCCACAGTCAAGTCTCCGGTCAGTACGCTTAACTGATAGTGTGACTCATCCTTTGTCGCATCCGAGATGCAATCTGTCGAAATGTAAGCGGAAACGACGAGAAGACGTCGCTTCTCACACTGATTTCTCACTATGATGGAACTTTCTAATCTAACAGCACATAATTGGCTGTTAATGAATATCCAGTCGATCAGTGCTGCCTCAGCTCTAGTGCTTAGTGCGACACAAACGACAGCGAAACTAAATGTAGATGCTACAGGGTACCCGGATAAACGCATGCGAAACAAGCCCTTCGAAGCGACAGATGGAGAGCGCATTTGCAGTGCTTCACTAGAGTCTTGGATAGACAACAAACGTCTATATTAAGACTTTCTAAAGACATAGCCAATCATATATGTCGTTTGGTTTGCATTAGTGTGTGAACGTTGAAGGAGGCCAGTTTGAATGGCATACGTGGTTTCACAAAGACTGGTTCAGTATTCCTAGTCGGTGGTAGCATTCAACTTTCGACCGGTCAGTGACTTGGGATCGTTTATATAGGACAGGGTTTCCACCATAGGCGAACTGCTGTATAATTTTAAAAATAAAATACGCAAAATGAGAGTAAGGGGGAATACACAAATGACGAGTATTATCATATTATTGTGAATAGGTGTTGAAGCAGGAGCAATTTTTCCAGTAGTAATCATTGATTTGTGCGAGGGCCCTGATACTGTCCGAGCGCCCAGACCAGAGCAAGTGTTTTTCTTAGGGATCAACACTCGGAGCCTTTGGCCTAAAGATATGATCCACAAGGCAGTGGGGCAACGTCAGGAGATGCAGTTCTATGGAAGCCGGTAACCAACAATTGGTTCATAGGCCATTTGTTCCCTCGGGATCCTGGGGTCTGTGTGCACCACTGGCTTGAAATTAGGGTTCTCTATCTCCCCTATGTAGACTCACTGTGTCCACTAACCCAGTTAAAGCGCTGAATATTCGCTATCGTGTAGGAGACTCGTGCTGCTATAGATGATACGAGGGAATAGTATAGGTTATAACATAAAAGCTAATATCTATTTTTCGACAGTTCCTAATCATATTTTACAAAAAACACCTAATGAAGTTTCATGTAATATTTGTATTTAAAACTGATCTTGCGGTGTACTTATCGTAACATTGTAAGGAGTTTATATTTTCCGTATTACGAAAACAACAATGATCCTGACATTTTACAGTACTAAAAGACAAAATGCTGAGAAAACAATCAGCACGGATTTGAAAATCTCGTTTGGCTTTCGCTAACTTACGTCACCTGTGGCGAAGGCGAGATATCCGTCTATCAATAAAAGGACTAGTATACTGTGCGGCACTTCTTTTCGTTCTACTTTACGGCTGCGAAACGTGGCCATTAAGAGTTGAAGATACTCGTAAGTTACTAGTACGCGATTGCAGATGTCTTAGAAATATTGCTGGGATCACCGGGTAGGTGATGGTGAGGTTAGATGTGTAGGGTATTAGGGAACGATGGCAAACCAGTTGATGAGGTTGTGAATTTTCATCAACTGAGATAGTTGGGTCACCTGTTATGTATGCCTGAACGCTGATTACCATGACGCGCAATGCTGACTAGTATTGGAGACGTATGGAAGTTAGGGGCGGCCAAACCAAACGTGGCATCAATCCATTAGGTCACTAACTTCTGGTCTGATCCACGTTGGTGGATGCAGACCATTTGGTTGGGGTCTGTGTGACTATCGTTACCAATGATTGGAGACTGGGTGACATGGCTCAAAATCAGTCACGTTGGCGTAGGTGTACACATTCTTTGTCTTCCTTAAACCGTGAGATTAAAACTACTTTATACCTTTCTTTCTACGAACTAATTCTTCCCCTCTGTATCATATCATTATGTGCAATCTTTCTTATATATTACCACCTCTGAATTAACTACTTTTATGAATACGGTGTCCATCTTGTTGTGTTAATGCGGTATGGCAACTTGGACCGATGCATATATGTGTCTGGTCGTGCGTTGTAGATGACTGACTAAAAAATGATTTCGCATGTCTTTTTATGATGTACACGATGTGAATAATGATGCAATTAATAACCTCTAATCAGAATGCTATTAAAATGAGTCACAAAGTCCCACTCCATCAACTGAGATGTTTTGAGGCCGTTCCCAGTACATCCATTTTGATGGCTAGTATAAGGGAATTGTCGAATTTATCGTTCTCAAAAAGTAGATCCTAAGCAGTGAATTAGTTCTACGCAAATCGGTTACGTTGTTGTGAAATAAGCCACTTAGGTCTCAAGTAATGGCGTCAGAAGTCTTTTGTGATTATGTAGTTTTCACGTTGATTGTAGAAACCGCTTATGAAACTGGGTTACTAATTTCGTTGATTTTTTTGGATCTCAGAAAATTACGGACGAGCGAACGAAGAAACACTTGATGTCGGTCGACATTAGAGCTTCAGTTAGTTTTTTGTAACTAGCTTTCTCTACATAATTCACAACTAGTAGTAATGTCCTAATTTGATACTTGTTAAAGCAAACAAACATGCTAGGATGTTTGGGATCCGTTTTCCTCCATCTTAATGCAGAATATTGCTTCAGGACTGATCTGCGTCAACGCCTCAACTAATAATCTAGTGTATTTGAGTTTAGTGGTCACTTCATTATCTTGGAAGTCTCATCGGCTCTGGGAGGTGGTCTGACGAAGTCTCGGAGCAAATTTAGTGAACTCGGTTGACGCTTATGGTGTAGGTGTTAGGTCCCGATAAACATAATGAATGGTAACTTTGGAATCCTTTTATGGACTAATACTAAACGCATATTTTTGTCGTATAATTGTTAAATAACTAAACTATTCATATTCATGTTCCTCTTATCATAAACTTTATTTTGACCTATGAACCATTATTATACGTTTTATCATTCTTGAGTTATGCCCTGTCTATCAATTACTATCTCCCTTATTCACAGTCACATTCGGCTAAATCTTGTGCAAATGTTATTTCCTATTTTATGGTACGATGTGGTCTGTTTGGTTGGTATATAAACTCAGTATGTTTGAAATATAATGATTCATATTGCAGAGGCTGAGACTGGGGTTCTGGACTTAGCTGGCTGGGCTAGACAGGAAGCGAGACTAATCTGGACTCTAGGCTGCTCGCACGTGTCCTTGGTCCGATCAATAATTCACTGTCCTCTAATCGGCGGTCATAAGTTACAACAGTAGGTGGCATATTCGTCTGCCAAATACAGGATGAGATTACAGTGCAGGAGTCCACTTCATTCTATCTTGTGGTTATGAAATATGGGCTTCAGGAACAGAGGATATCCGTAGACTACTAGTATCTGAACACAGGTGTTGCGAACCAGTTCTCTTACATTTTGATAATATCAAGTTAACTGACGTAAAAATAGGTTGGAAGCTAGCAGACGTCAGTCTATGAAGACTGATTGCTGAACTGAGCCGTGTAGGTAGATGCAGACTAACTAGTTGTGGTCCGTGTGGTTATCGTAACTAAATGTTAGGTAATTTGAATGACATGACTCAGAACCGTTCACAGAAACCCGGATGCATTCACTATATTCGCTTAGATCCTAAATTTCTTATAAGTATTATTCTTTTGTTTCGATAATTTGTATTTTCTTGAATCTTACTACCACTGATACTGTTGCTACTGCGGGATTTGCCTTGACATTTCCATCTTGCTGTGCTAATGGAGTATGGAAACTTGGACCGATTTACACTTGTGCCAGATTCCACACTGCGTTTAACTAACTAGAACAACAAAAAAGCAGGTTTTTATAGAAAAGTCACACTTACTAAGCAAAGGTTTAATTGCTAATAGCATAAGGCAGTTGTTCAGAAGAATGGTGTATTTTTACAGTTTGATCTTGCTTTTTTCGAGAAAATACTTTGTA